GAGTGGTTGGAGGTGGACACAGCTCTTTCAAAGAAACTACAGTAAAGCATTTTAGGATTCCTGGATCCCAACGAGATGCTTCCACGTCTTTTGTCTCAGAAAAGACTTGTTTGGGACGCCAAGAGTGGCCCCTGGGATAAACTTTTGCATCCTCCAGTCCACCGACATGTAAGTGAGTTTCTGTGTACTGGTAGCAAAACACCTAAGCACCTGGCTGCTAACTGAAAGGTTAGCAGTTCAAACCCACCCAGCGTCTCCGAGGGAGAAAGACCTGGCTATCTACTTCTGTAAAGATTAAAACCCCTTGCCATCGAGTCAATTCTGACTCACAGCGACCCTGTAGTACAGAGTAGAACTGTCCCATAGGGTTTCCGAGGCTGTAGTCTTAACGGAAGCAGACTGCCGCATCCCTCTCTCGCAGAGTGGCTGGTTGGTTCGAGCTGTCCACCTTTTGGTTAGCAGCTGAGCACTTAACCACTGCACCACCAGGACTCCTTCCTTAAAGATTACAGCCTAGAAAGTGCTTTGGGGTTGTTTTATTCTGTCACATGGGGTCACTATGAGTCAGGTCACTAGACAGCACTCAACAAAAACAAGCTCCGTACACCCATGTCCTTGATGGTGGAGGTAGGATCGCATGTGCACTTGTGGCAGCAGAGACCAAAATGGCAGAGCGCTGAGTGGCTGTGAAGTGGGGGAGAAGGACTCAGAGGACGTCATTAACAAATTGCTGGGTGGCTTCCTGTGTGTTGCGTAACTCTGGTGACGTCATTTGATAATTTCCTGATCATTCATGTTTATCCCTTTATAGGTTCCTGCCATCCTCACTGTTTTTTTGGTTTGTTTGTTTTGTTTTTCAATACCACAAACTGTTGAGTGCGGATTTAGGGTGAGAACGTGATCTATGTTCCTGGACACAGACAAATTCCGTGTCAGCTGATCGGACAGAGTGACAACAACTGTGGCCTCTTTGTTTTTGTCTCTGTGGAGTGTGTGTGACTTTCCCTAGGAGTCGGAGGTGAATGTGATGCAACAGTGACTACCTTCTATTTGAACTTGAATTCATTACGGTACAGTTGGGTGGAAAATAAAGGAAACAATTAGTGAAAGCAAATGGGAAAAGTGTAAAACTGGAGTTTTGTTTTTAAGTAACACTTGGGAGAGAACAATTTAGGAAGGAAGACAACATTATCTCTCTATTCCCTTGCACGCAGATCTCATTTTAAAGGAAACAATGACAAGGTAAATTTAAGTGGTGTCATAGGGAATGTTAGGAGCTAATGTTACTCATCTAAAAACTGTCAGTGCAAGGAAATAGCCAGGTGCGTACAGGGCAGAGATATTGCAAAAACTCTCTGTAGACATCTCAAAGTGTTGGTCTTTGAAAATAAGGTCCACGTGCAATGCTCTCAGCAGTGCCGTTGTTAAGATTGTTACTGTGTTTATTGCCAGGCATTATCAAGATGCATTCCCACAGTGTGTACCTGGTTCCAAGGCCCACAGTCGATAATTACTCTGGGGGTCATTTATCATTTTCTCTCTCTCTCTCTGTAAATAAAAATGAAAAGGCAAGGTTTGGTAGTGGTTAAAAAAATTGTTGACATTGTGGGTAATTACAGGAATTTGCTTCTTTGACTCAGCTTCTTAATTTAAATCCTTACTCTGTAGATATTGCAGATTTATTATTTTCTGTGGCTGCACAGCTTTAAATGGCTTGGAATAAGAAATAATATTATTTTCCATTTCTGTGGCATCACAAGCCCTTCACATTCACCATTTCAAACTCCCTCACCCGCCATCCCATGAGGCTGATAGGACAAACTGTAGGACTGTAGGACAGTAGGACAAACGTGACACCCCCACTGAACTGATGAGAAACCTAAGACTCAAAGAGGCTGCAGATTTTGCCCAAGATCATACTGTGAGCATGCTGGGATTCAAACCCAGATCTGACAGCAAGAGTCCACTGCCTACTAATAAAAACCAAAAACTAAACCAGTTGCCTGTCAAGTCAATTCCAACCTATGGCAATTCCACAGGTACAGAGTAGAATTGCACTCATTGGGTTTTCAAGGCTATAATTCTTCAGAAGCAGATAGCCAGGTCTTTCTTCTGAGGTGCCTCTGGGTAGATTCGAACTGCCAATCTTTTGGTTAGTAGTAGCCAACGTGCTTAATGGTTTGTACCACCCAGGAACTCCTTTTGAACTGACACAAATGTTTCAAGTACTCTTTTGTGTAAGAGTGGAAAAGAGGAGAGAAAAATGCTTTCCAGGCTTAGCAACTCAGTTAGCAAGTGAGGAGGATGCAGCATGCAGAGAAGGCCTCCCAGCAATACATTATGAGCATGCGAACTGTAAAACGTCTGTACAGTCTATGCCTGTGCCATCCAACATGGTAGCTACCAGCCACCTGTGGCTACCAAGCACTTGAAATGTGACCAGTCCAGATTGAGATGGGCTCCATTGCCATCAAGTCAATTCCAACTCATAGTGATTCCATAGGACAGAGTAGAACAGCCCCGTAGGGTTTCCAAGGCTGTAATCTTTACGGAAGCAGACTGCCACATCTTTCTTCCAAGGAGTGGCTGGTGGGTTTGAGCCACCGATCTTTTGGATAGCAGCCAAATTCTTAACCACAGTGTAAAATCCACCGAGGTTTCAAAGACTTGGTATGAAAAAAAGAATGTAGACTACCTCCATAATTTTCATATTTATTAAATGTTGACATGACATATTGGGTTAAATACAATATATTATTAAAATTAATTTCATGTGATTATCTTTAAATTTTTAATGTGACTACTAGAAAATTAAAAATTATATATGTAGTTCACATAATGTTTCTATGGGACGGTGCTGGCCCAAGGTTTTTATTTGGGAGAAGACCGTCACTTGGTAGGTCAGGGTAAGCAGCACGAGGAGTCCAGTGGTGGCTCAAGTAGGACAGAGACTCTCTGAGTAGCTGTTGTGGGCCATCATGTGCCATCAAGTCAATTCTGACTCATAGAGACCCTATAGGACAGAGAAGAACTGCCCCATAGGATTTCCTAGGCTGTAATCTTTATGGGAGCAGATCAGCAGGTCTTTTCTCCATTGGAGCTGCTGGTGGGTTCAAACTACCTACCTTTTGGCTAGCAGCAGAGTGCTTAACCATTGTGCCACCAATGGTCCTTCTCCTAGTGACCTTATAGGATGGGGTAGAACTGCCCCACAGGGTTTCCAAGGCTGTAATCTTTATGGAAGCAGATTGCCACATCTTTCTTCCACTGAGCAGCTGGTGGGTTTGAACTGCTGACCTTTTGGTTAGTAGCCAAGCACTTAACCACTGCACCACCAGGGCTCCTCTGAGCAGAGGGGCCAGGAAAGCCATAGCCTGGCCCTTAGGAATGAGCCCCTTGTTAGGCAAGAACATTAAAGAAAGCAGCAAGGGCTCCACGTGGCAATTTCAATGGAAACATTTTCATTTCTGAAACTTAAGTTTTTTTCTGAAACTCCACCCAAGGCAAAATGGATTATTGCTTCCTGGAAATCGAACCAGGGGACTTCAAAGTGTTTCATATTGAAAACAGAAAAACCCAAGAAAGAGAAAAATAATTATATTTCTAAAATCTTTTAAAACAAATGCTTGCTTGTGAGACTTTTCCTATAAATATTTTATTCTTCTTTTTCTTTCTTTTGTTCTGCAGCTGAAGGGTTCCACATGGACATAGGGATGATGTTCCCCTTGGGAGCCAAGATCAAAGCCACCCTGAGTCTGCTCACTGCTGAGCTTTACTCACAGTCTTTGCAGTGTCTACCGCCACCCACCTGCAGGATTCTGCGATAAAGTGGGTCCAGAACTGTCAGACAAAAGATGCAGGGAAAAATCCATTGCTACGCAGTATCCAAGCTGTCTGTGGGTTGGAACAGTATATGTATGTATATGTATCTTGCTGTTGGGTCAATTCTGACTCATGACAACCCCATGAGTGTCATACTGGAACTGTGCTCCATCAGGTTTTCAATGGCTGTGACCTTTCTGAAGTAGACTGCCAGGCCTTTCTTCTGAGATGCCTCTGGATGGATTTGAACCACCAACCTTTTGATTAGTAGATGAGCATTTAACAATTTTCGCCACCCAGGGACTCCTTTTAAGTTAGTAACCGAGTGAAAACTGTACAAAAAACTCAGTCACTCTAAAGTCATTGCCTTCTCTCCTTCTCCCTAAACACGGAGTAGGAATATCAACCTGCTTCCTTGGTGCTGGTAGAAAGATTCATCTAAATAAAAATGCCCTGCTGGGTCCACAGGGGAGGACACGTATCTGCTGCCTGATCTGAGCTCAAGCTTGAGGTAAATCCAGAGGAGCCCAGAGGGAGCACCCAGGGCAATGGTCTCCAAACAAGCTTGCTGGCCTGCCACCTAAAAGGAGCTTGAAAGACATGTACCTCCCTTACATATGTTTAAATTGACATTAAATTTTTTTTTAATCTTAAATATAAATAGTTGCCCAGGATGTAATTTCCAATGCATTGTTAATAGTATAAGAAAGAAGAGTATCCCAAAACTGTCTGTGACAGAACTTTTTTGTATATCATTTGCAGCTCTTTCTGTGATGTAATTACGATTCCTGATCAAATTCCGGATAGACTTAACGGAACTAAGAACTCCTGAAAAGTTAGGATTCCTTGCCCAACCACCATAATATACTTAGCCATTCCTTTACTGTGGCACCATTTCTTTCTTTCTTTTTTCTCTGTATCTGTCTCTCCTAAGAGAGAACCCCTGAATTGGCTTGCTGGGCAGCCTCTTCCCTTGAAGCCAGCTTGGAATGAGATTTTGACACATACTAATAACATGTTTGTCTGAGAAGTTACTTCAGCAGTTGACATTTTAAAATAAATCTGTTACATCACTTTTTAAATGTATACAATGGACGTGAAAGACCATAATGATCTGATACTTAACATTAACTACATGAAAAATACAGGAGCGAGTCCTTTTTTTTAACACTTGGGAATCTTACATTGTTCCTTTTTCTCCTTAAATATATATTCCATCCCCCATTTTATCCTAATATGGTATTTCTTACAGTTGAAAGTTTAAAATTGATTAGCCTCTCATACTTTTCTACTACAAAAGCAAGTCGATGCATTTAAATAAATTTTTGTGACCATAAGGCTTTACATTTTGTTCCTGGATTAAGTAATTATTACAATTATTATTATTATCCAATTGATAAAAATGCACAAATATATTACAATTTTGATAATTATTTAACATAGAATTTAAATTTTATTGGAAATACATCTCTCAATGATATGAACAGGGCTGGTTTACCCTTCTCCAACGCCCCTTCCCAACCAGGAGGGACATTATCCATAAATAGAAAAGTACGTGTTGCTAGAAAGAGTAAGGGTTCACCGTCAATGCTATTCTTATTTTTTGTTTTTATGGATGAAAGCAGTGAGGATTATACACATAAACAAGTACATAGGAATGAAAGGAGTTTGGTTATAGCAACATTACTCAACTCCTTGAACTTCTGAGTTATATTTTTTAAAAAATCACATTAAAAAAAGTTTGATCAGCTGACTTAATTTTGTTGAAAGCAAAGAATTGGAAAACCAATTTACAAAAGTCATTAGAGTCTAATACTTCAGTATTTCAAATCATCCCTTTTGGTAATCCAAGGGTTTTAACACAACTGGGACTTACTGCAGGCTTGAGTGCAGATGGACATGGTAGGTGGGTAAACTGGCTTTCTGGAAAAAAAAAAAAGTTTGAAGTCCTGATTTGTACCATTTGCTGATTTCTGTAGTGTAAATACTTCCACCATGGCCAATTTCAAACTACCAACTTGACTTTAGTGAATGTGGAGCTGGAAAGAGATACATACAATTGGCTCTCATGACAGTAGAAGCCAGCTCCAGCAGACCACTGCAGCACCCACAGTAAGATTCAGAATAGGTGAAATGTGACAGACAATTGTGGAAGGGAAGGTGGGAGAAGCAGCCTGACCTCGGGGAGGGTTCTGAAGGAGCCCAGTTTACAAAAATTACCCACGGGCAGTGAGGACGTTGATAGCTTTAAATGTCCCATGACTGTGTACCCCTGGGAAGGGCTGTGTCCCAAGGTTACATGCGCAGCAGTTTGAAGACTACTGATAGAGAGGAGGGAGCCTGGGCCTTGGAGTCAGCCAGACCAGGGCTCAAATCCTGCCTTTGTCACTCCCATTGCTTGAGACCTTGGGTATGTTGTCTAACGTCTGAGTCTCAGTTTTCTCCTCTGGAAAAGGAGAAGCCAACACCTACCTTCCAAGGTAGTGAGGAGTGGTAGTGGAAAGTATATAGTGCTGGCATGTAGCAGATGATCAACAAATGGATGTTATTATTAGAGTCCTTTTAAAAAGAGTCTGTCTTAGTTTGCTAACGCTGCTGTAACACAAATTTAAGTGGGTGGCTTTAAAGAATGGAACTTTATTTTCTCACAGTTCTGGAGGCCAAAAGTCGAAATCAGGATCTCAGAGGTATGAATTCCTTCCTTGTTGGTAGCAACAGGCGTTCCTTGGTTCCTTCATAATCCTTACATTGTATCTGTCTTCCCCCATGTGCGTGAATCTCTGTGTCTAATGTGCTCTTTTGATAACTCAGAAGTGATTAGATTTAGAATCCACTCTATTCAGGTATGATCTAATTAATATAAAAAAGAAAACCCTACTTCCAAACAGAATTACAGCCACTGGTATATGTGTTAGGATTCCAACACATATTTTGGGGAGTCACAATTTAATCTGTAACAGAGTTTAAGGGAGGAGAGTCAGAGGGTTGATGCTTAGGGTATCAGTAACCAAACATAAGAAAGAAATACTGGATGCCTTGCTACTTAGGGTTTACATGCTCCAAAGCAAGTGGCTGCTTTGGTTATCGTAAACTGTTAACTTCAAAAATAGAATTTCAGCTTCGTTCTCTCCTTTTCATACACTCTGTCATCTGATGGAATGCAGAGGCTGGGAACTCCACTCCACATGGCAGAGAACACACCCAATAGCAACAATGGCTCTCTGGAGGTGTGGAACTCAGGGTGGTATACATCTTGGACCTAATCAGAAGGGTTTGTTACCAAGAAACAAAAGGCTTCCTTCTAAGGTAGTTTCACCTGTAAGGCAATCCCTCCGCCTGGTCCCTGAGGACTTCATTAGAGTGGGGTTGCTCGTGGTTATACAGTATTGGCTTGTTAAGAAGGTTTTTTAAAGTCTTGTTTAATGACGATGAATGGCAGGGCAAAATCATGTGAACACATTATAAGCAATTACAGGGCAGAACCAATATCTCACACCGTGCTTTATTTTTCTTCACAATATTAGCTAGACAGACAAGAAAAATTTAGTGGCAATGTGACTTTTCCCACAAGAAAAGTGCCATTGTATTTAACGGTGGCCAACTGGAAATCACTTTATCTTAACATCTAAAGTAGGTTTAGCTTATATTTGTTTCTATGTTCAGTGTTGCAGGATATTAAAAAAACCAAAACTCCATGTGTTACAGAGTAGAACTGCCCCAAAGTGTTTTCTTGGCTGTAATCTTATTAAAAGGACTCCAATAATAACATCCATTTGTTGATCATCTGCTACATGCCAGCACTGTATACTCTCCACTACCACTCCTCACTACCTTGGAAGGTAGGTGTTGGCTTCTCCAGGACTTTCTTCCTTAGAGCCGCTGGATGGGTTTGAACTATCAAACCACTTGCACCACCAGGATATCAGCTACCCCTAAAAAATATTAATCTTAAAAACAGCCTAAAGAACACAAAAGTATAAAAATCTTGATAACAAACTTTCAGTACAAAACACTTTTAATACACTTATTTTATTTAAAACACAAATAGCCCCAGTAAGGCAAAACAAAGGCAAAACTTGATTGCTTTAAAGACTTAAGAAGACATTATAATAAACACAACCACCAAAGCTTCCGTAAGAGAAATCTAATTGGCTATCACTCCTTCAAATGCTACCCTGCGGGGTGGGGAGGACTTAATAAAATGAGCTAGCTGGAAATCCCACTGCAGAATCCCCAAAAGGTTTAGGTACATGGTATTAGTTATGTATCGACACTATAGGACTTTTTGATTAACTTTCCATCTTCCACCCATAGGATGTAACCTGCCAAATTGTACCTTCTCCCACATGACTGTTGTGTTCATCAGTCGCCAGTCTTTTTAATTTTAGCCATTCTGGTGAGTGGTTATGCCAATCGGTTGTTATCGTCTGCGGAGTCATTGCTGTGCTGACCTTGGTACACAAAACAACCGTGTCATTGATGGGATGCTGACTGTGTGTTATTTTCTGGGGCGGTGGTGAGGAATTGGGGCAGTACCATTCACACTCCATCTGGTTCTCTTTGTGCCCAGTGGGATGCATATTTCATCGTTGTCCAAGTCCATCCTGTGAGGACAGACATGGAAAGGAATGATTCTTTGGGTAAGGCTAAGGGACTTGAGTTATCACGTACCCAATTCAGTTTCACAATTTTTTTTTAATCTTATTATTGTGCATAATAAACACTTAAAAACAGATGTCCTTACCAACCAGAAGGTTGCTATTAAATATCCTGTTGGTTAAAATAGCAAGCTTAATTGTTTAAATACCCATTAGCTATATCCAGGGTTGAAGTTTATACTATTAATGGCAAATATTTAAAAAAGCTTTCGGCCATTGGCACTGCCACACTGAGCTGACACTGAGCTGTGCTGATGTTTCTACAATCTGTATGTACCACAGAATTATAAATGCTTCTCATTTGTTGCACAAGCTCTTTCACTGAGGCATCATGCTGACCAGAGGGAAGGTCCTACTTGCTTCCATTTCATACCCCACAGTTCTGACTATTCTGAGAAACCTCCACTCTCTGACCCAATCTTGGGGATGTTTTAATCATTTAAAAATTCTTCCTCCCTCTCACCCCCACAACAAATGTCCTTTGTCTCATAATAATTAAAAAAAACCCTAAAAGATCCAGATTGACAATAAAGATCTGATTGGAACCCTCATAAGCTGACAATGTAGAATTGTAGTTCTTAAAAAAGTGTGTAACCACATTTGTCTGGGCAGAAAAAGACACCATAGAATAAGATTAGAATAGAATTTCAACTGACTCCCTAATTTCCTTAGAGTGGCTTGTATTTCAAGCCTTTCCTGTTTTTTTCTTTTTTTTTCTGATAGAGTAGGTGTACATTACTAACTATAAGTGATAAGAAGTGTAAAAGCAGCCACTGCCTTCGAAATACAACTGAAATTAGAATTTAAGTTCAAATTTATAAAATACCTGTTTTAGCACAGGTCTAATTACAAACATAGACTATTTGCAATTCTGTTCATTCACTAGATCCTTGGCCTGAAAATTGGACGTGTGTTGGGACGGCCCTAATCATTTACATTAATCCTGATTATAACGCCTTTTGATTTATAGTCACTTCCTTATTTTTCGTACTGGGCCAGGGCTAAGCCTTTAAGATGACGAACAATCAACATTTTCGAATGAAATAAAAGTCACATCTAAATGGAAGGCCACATCTGAATATGCAGAGATAAATGGGCTAAGGCAGAGGGATACTGGTGTTTTGCTTAAACTATTTGGAGATGCTTCCTTAATTCTAAATGTGACTTTCATCGGAACCTTAAGCCTCCAGGAATTTTCAGGCCCTGTCAAATCCTCTGGGATGAGCCCTGTTTGCTAGAGAATATGTCTGTTGTCTTTTGGTTTCCCTTTCAGAGCGCTTATGCAGTAAGGGCTTAAGAGGACCGAGAAGGTTCTTGAGTGCTTTTTACCTCGTAGGCTCTTTTTTAGAGCTCTTAGAGCTCTTGACCCCAATTTGGAAAAGTGCTTGTGTTCTATTGAACCCTGGCCCTGGCCAACATATTCACCATGTTTGTGGTAAAGAGGAGTTAATATTCCGGTGTGAATCCCTTCTCCATATGAAATAGGTAGAAAGGTTCTCTGTGTGGTGGCAAAACAAGACAATGAAAAGAAAGGAGGAGGGAAAAATGACTAGTTGAGGCTTTTATATACATTCATTGCCTCCAACATGTTTTTAACAAGAAAAATGTAATATCAACTACTCTTAGAGTGAGGGTAGCCACAATACTGTACAGTTCTGGGGTCAGGTGGTCCGGCACATTTACGGTTAAAACCAGACAGCAAAACCCCACAGCAAAAGGAAACCAGCCAGAAGTTAACCACCATGACCTTTTTTTATATATACATTTTTTGAATACTCTGTGAACCCAGCTGAAACAATAACAACAGTAACAAAACACAAACAGGCTTTATATTAAAAATGTACTTGCTCTTCATTGTTACTTCTAAAGCAGCTTGGAGAATCTCACCACTTGGAGTGTACTGCAAACTGACTCCATTGAAATGATCTTGGCAGGATAGCAGCACAGGATTTGATATTCCATATTTATCACTTATGACAATGTAAACCTTTCATAAAATATTATTTTGCCAAAAAATTAGGATCATACAAAGGTCTGATCATCCTGTTCCCTGAGGCCCGCCAGGAGGTCTGACTTTGTACCACGGGTTTCCTGCTCTCTCTGTGGGGAACGTTAAGTGCCATTGCATTTCAGGAAGGATCTGAAGGATAGCCACAGACAAGGACCCTGCGGAAGGAGGGCAGTAGGTCTCTATATGGGGGTCTATGTTTAAACAGGCCACCTAAAGCAACTCTCTTAAAGTCAAACCACTCAGTGCCAGATTTTAATTCTCTGGTAGCTTCCCATCTGGATTTTCAACTGAATGAACTTCATGGGTTTTACCAAATAACTTTGAGTTAAATTCGGAATTGCCCAGGGACAGACAAGTCAACTTTCAAGGAACAGGTCAAAGGGACAACAGATATATCCCTCACAATAAACAACTGTGTTGAAAGGGAAATGCACACAACTTGATTGAAGCAAGGTTCCTCAGCGGCCAATATGCTCCAGGGTTTCTCAGTTTGCTGAGTGAGACCCAGGGCTTCTCACCTTCTTGGAAATGCTTTTGCAGAATTAAGGAGACAAAAATCTCAATTGGAAAATGATCATTTCTGCTAACAAATAGTGTAGAGGCCATAACTAAATACAATTAAGAAAAATGATGAGATGCATGTATTTTTTAAAGCAGCTTTTGAAATATCAACCACAGCATTAAACACTGAACATAATACATTCCAAAGTTAATACAGATAAATGGTATATAATGCAATAATGCCACAAATCAAGGCTGACTCTAAACTTAAAAAAATAGTTTCTAGTATATTAACTGGAGATTTTTACTTCTTTTGCTACTTCTCTATAATTTTCCACCACTGATTTTTTTTTTTTTAATTGCCCCAGGATGTACAGATAATCCCTAAATTCTACACCTAGAGCCTTTTTTTTTTTCTGTCAGGTTTTCAAATAAAACCAAAAGACAAGGACAAGATAATGTTTTACATCGTATTTCCATAGCTATAAGTCAATTAATCCATGACACCTCGTTTCAACACTCCTTTAGGATTTATGACCCTCCTCAAAGTCATTCAAAACCTTTCTGGAAACTGCAGCCCACAGGCCGCTCGGGGGCCCACAGGCCGCTCGGGGGCCCACAGGCCGCTCGGGGGCCCACAGGCCGCTCGGGGGCCCACAGGCCGCTCGGGGGCCCACAGGCCGCTCGGGGGCCCAGCGTGCACATTGCCATTTTCCTTTCGTTAGCGCCGGCAGAGGCCTTCCCAGCATGCACCGCGTCACTGCTGGCCCCTTCCGGAGCTGCGCCTCAGTTTCCCTCCACAGCGATACACTTCTCTGAGACAACTTCACAGGTTGCACCTTCAGAGTCAGTCTTAAGAAGCGGCCCAAACAAAGAACCCATGGCACCCAGGTTTTGCTCTGTGGGAAAATGGGCCCAACCTGAGGGCCAGCCCCACAGCCAGCAGGCCCAGGCGGAGTCCCGCTATTGCTATTTCTCGACAGTGGCGTTCTGAACTCCTTTGGCTTGCAAACACTCGGAGACCACATTGCTCTGTTTAAAAGCCATCTCGGAGGCCAGCCAGTGCCCAGGCTCAGTTCTAGGACGAAGCCCTCCTACTGGGCCGCGAGACAGGCCTGCAGGCTGCAGCTTACTACTGAAAAGCAGGCACTTGTGGCGGCCTGATGCCTCTGGAAACGCTTGCCTTCCCCATGCTTAAGAAGTTACCGACGAGTCCGATTCCTTGCATGCCAAAGGATCCTGTTTCTTACTCAGACGGAGCCAGTACTCAGAGGGGCAGATCCGAGATATAGGAATATACACATCAGGGCTTAAGGTACTGGATGATATTGTATAAATTGCTAAAATGCTTCTCGGCACAATTGGTAGCTTAAAAAAATACTTTCCTATGGTTTAAGGGCATTTTTTCCCATCGCTGACCTTCGGCGTGGAAATCTCAGTGGACACCATGTCCGTGTAAAGTTCCTAGTTTTTTTCCTCCAACTGGGTTTGTACCATGTGAATCAAAAGCGAAGCGTCTGTTCTTCCCTGCAGGGAAGAGTCTACTTCCTTCCGAGGACCTTGCCTCCATTAATGTCACAGCCCCAGGGCAAATTGCAAGTAGAATGAACACCTTCTTCCAAGACTGGAGGAGTCAGACTCTGGCTTCTCTAACAGTCAAGTCTTTTGCCAGTTTGTTTGCTCTTCAGATGGAGAGTTAGTGCAGACGACATTGAAAACAAATCCGTGTTTATAGGCACAGGAGATCCAGGTGGGGCCGCCAGAAGTGGGGCTTACCAATGAGTGGTGCGGTTTACAAAGACAGGAGGTTTGATGGGACTGTCTTAAATAAATAAATCTTTTTCTTAATAATGTAAAAAATAAATGATATTTCCCTTTGGCAGTAAATAGCTGATTTGACGTTGAGCCTGAAAGTCATTTTTTGTTTTGTTTTGTTTTTTGATTTTTGTTTTAAGAGACCACAGCTTCATTTCTTGGTACCTCACTGACGATGCATACTATTCCTACTGCTTTTGTGAACTTTTGCATAACTGCGGCAGGCTGGGTAACTTCACTTGTGCCCCAGGTAGGCACCCAGGGTGATGCAAGCTCCTACCAGGGCCAGACTGAGCAGCGTCTTCAGAGACAGCCAGGAGAAATCAAACAGAGGCCGCATGCTGGGGCCGTACAGTTCCACAAAGGCATCCTGGTCGGGGGAGAGGAGAGAAGAAGAAAAACAGCGTTAGAGACAGAGCACAAAATGGCATCCTACAAAGACAGGGGCACTGCGCCTGAGCAGCAAGGCCACCCTCAAGGGTGAGAGGAAAGGTAAAACAGGAACCCTCAGAAGGAAAGATAAAACACTCGTTGGGGCAAAGATTCAGGACCCGCTGTCGTTCATTCAAGAAATATTTATTGATCAAGTAATTGCTTAAGGGGTACAGAGCTTCTGTTTGGGATGATGATAAAGTTTTGGAAGTAGGCATCGGTGATGGTTACACAACATTGTAGATGTAATTAACGCCAATGAATTATACACTTAAAAATGGTTAAAATGGCATACTTTATGTTACATATATCTTACCACAATACATTTTTTAAGAAAGCATTAAAAAATATGTATTGAGAACCTGTTTATGTGCCAGGCAGTAAATAAAAGAGACTAAAAAGTTCCTACCTCACGGAGCTTGTATTCTAGTGGAGTGGGCTAGACAATAAACAAAATACAGTATATTAGAGAGTAGTAAGTGCTAAGGGGAGTCCCTTCGTGGTGCAGACGGTTAACATGCTCAGCTGCGAACCGAAAGGTTGGAGGTTCAAGTCCACCCAGAGGTACCTCAGAAAAAAGGCCTGGTGGTGATCTGCTTCCAAAAATTCTGTCATTGAAAACCCTATGGAGCACAGTTCTGCTCTGAAATACACGAGGTCACTATGAGTCAGGAGTCGACTCAACGGCAACTGGTTGGTTGATTGGTGGGTAAGTGTTAAGAAGAAAAATGAAACAGCAAAGGCAGTGAGGAAATATTGTAGGTTTTGCAATTTTGGCTAGCCTGGACTTTAATAAATACAACATAACAACTACTACGATTCTCCTTTATTGTGTGCTTACCATAGGCCAGTGCCTGTTATTGTGTGCCATCGAGTTGATGCCACCTTCTATTAACCCCATGTGACAGAGCAGAACTGCCCCATAGGATTTTCTAGGTTATAATCTTTATGGCGGCAGATCAGCAGGTCTTTCTCCTGAGGAGCTGCTGGTGGATTTGAACTGCTGACCTTTCAGTTAGCAGCCAAGCACTTAACCACTGTACCACCAGGACTCCTTACCACGTGCCAATCATGCATTATTTTATTTATTCTTCATACCAGTCTTATGGGGTCTTTTTTATTTGTTCTTATTCTGTAGATGAAAACCCTGAGACTCAGCGAGGGTAAGGGCTAGTAAAGGCTAGTAAGTGGCTGAGCCAGGACTTAAGCCCAGACCCACCCCGTGCCTTAGCGTTGCTGACCCCCTCACGCTGCTGACGGGAGCAGTGCCCACGATGCTGGCATGGTGGACAGAGAAGTGTGCCTTGACAGGTAGGATACTTAGCCTCTGAAGTCAAGATCGGGGTTCTCCCTGGGAAAGGAAGCTGCCAGAGGGCTCTGGGTTTTCTCGGCAGCAGCTAGACTGGACAACCTTGACGCTGAAGTTCACAAAGCATGCAGCCAGTTACTGTCACAGGAGACACAGATCCCTGAGGGAGGAACGGGCTCTGTCTTCCATTCCTATCGCTGCATCTGAAAGCAAGGTCTGTAGTGTGCTGTAGCAGAGTTTCCCCCTGGATGGTCCCAGACTGAAACAATCACTTAATGCTCATCTCCTAGGTTTTTTGGAGGGGGATTAGGCTTCATATTTGGACAACCCCCTTAATGAATATCTGAATATAGGAATCAGTAAATGAAATTGTTTTCACTTGGTGTGATTTTTTTCAGGCATGAAAAGGAAAACAGGACATAGTTCCACGCTGCTCGCAATAGCTTTGAATCAAAGCACACAATTTTATTGCAGGAGAGAGTAACATACTTGACTTCTGGCACTGCTTTGAGGAGGAGGTTCTAACAATGTTCACCGTGTTTTTGTCTGTTTAGGGCAAGTACTGGTAGTAAGTATTGGCAGGAGCCCTGGTGGCACAGTGGTTAAGCACTCAGCTGCTAACTGAAAGGTCAGCAGTTTCAAACCCACCAGCTGCTCCTCAAAAGAAAGACCTGGCTATCTGCTTCCGTAAAGATTACAGCCTTGGTAACACGATGGGGCAGTTCTCCTCTGTCCTGTAGGGTCACTGTGAGTTGGAATTGACTTGACGGCCATGGGTTTTTTGGTTTAGATTGGCAGTAGAGGGACCAGGTACCATCTTTGTCTCCCCAGAGCTGTGCAAGGCCCTTGGTACCTTGTAGGGCTTAATAAATGTTTGCTCAATTAATGGTTAAATTTTTCTAAATTCCATCGTAGGTCTGAATTCTGTCTTTGCCCTAAGGCTTCACCCAGATGCTTAATCTGCCTGTTTGAAATTATTCCCTCTTTATGTAACAATCTCTAGAAATCCTGGAGTAGTCTTGAAGATGAGAGTTTCAGGTATTGCAAGGGGAACTTCCCATGCCAATAAATACAGATTTATGCGATTATTTTTCATGACTGCATAGTATTCCATTGAATGGAGATCGATAATTTACTTAACCAATTCCTTACTTAGGTTGTTTTAAACTTTTGCTACTATAAACAATATTATGATTCATTTTTGTACATTAATTCTTATCTACCTGCTCAGTTATTTTTTTTTAGATAAATTCCTAAAAGTGAACTCAGTTGAGCAGTGATCACACTGCTTCCCGAATTCATGAAGGATTTGTGCTGACCCACTCTCACTGACCCTTCGTTGTGATCAATGGCAGCCCTTTAGAAAAGGCAGGCAAGGGTTTATGGCAGTAGTTCTCAACTGGGGGTGATTTTTGCCCCCCAGGTGACAACTGGCAATGTCCGGAAACATTTTTGGTAGTCATGGTCTGGTGGGGAGGGTGCTACTGGCGTCTAGTAGGCGGAGGCCAGGGATGCTGTTCAACATCCTTTAATATACAGGACGGCCCCCACAATGAAGAATTATCTGGCCTATAATGCCAGTAGTGCTGAGATTAGGAGACTCTAGTTTAGATGAAACTCTGAGATCACGGGCCACACAAGACCAAATGGTCCATCTCGTGTGTCAGCAGCTAAATTTGGTCAAATTAGCACAAGGTTAATCAGTTAGCTGAGCCAAGTAACTGGTCACTAACAAGTGGGCTCTCTGTTCCTTCAGATGTACTAGACTAACTTTTTATTATTATTTTATTGTGTTTAGGTGAAAATTTACACAGCACATTAGTTTCCCCTTTAACAATTTTTATACAAATTGTTCCATGCCATTGGTTACAATTTTTACAATGTGTCAGCATTCTCATTGTTTCCATTCTGTTTGTTCTGTTTCCATTGATTCTAGTTTCCCTTCCCCTCCTTGCCTTCTCATCTTTGCTTTTGGATAAATGTTGACCGTTTGGTCTCATATAGTTAATTGTTGAAGGGAGCACATTACTCACAAGTGATATTGTTTATTTTATAAGCCAATCTATTATTTGGCTGAAAGGTGACCTGCAGAAATAGCTTCAATTCCAAGTTCAAAGGGTAGCTTAGGGCGACAGTCTCGGGGGTTCTCTAGTCTCTATCAGTCTAGTAGGTCAGGCCTTTTTTAGGAATTTGAGTTTTGTTTTACATGTTTCTCCCACTCTACTCAGTACCTTCTATTGTATCTCTTTTAGAAATGTTGGTAGTGGTAGCCAGGCACCATCTAGTTTTTCTGGCCTCAGTTTAGAAGAGGATGTGGTTTGTGTGGGCTATTGGTCCCGTCAACTAGTTTCTTCTTTGAGCCTTTGATTTCCTTCATTCTCTTTTGCTCCGTAAGAGTAGAGACCAGTAGTTATATCTTAGATGGCCACTCACAAGCTTTTAAGACCCCAGACGCTACTCACCAAACTAGGATGTAGAACATTATCTTTGTGAACTATGTTATGCCAATTGACTAAGTTGTCCCCTGAGACTATGGTCCCAAGCCTTTTAACCCAGTAAAGCAATCCCTCGAATTGTTTGGATGTGTCTAGGAAGGCTCCATAACTGTGCCCCCTACGTGGTTTGTTATATATGTGGACATATAAGCAGCACACACAAATGTGTACATACATATGCCTACAGATACACCTAGATGTGCATGTGCATTTACTTGCATATGCCTTCCTATACACATATATGCATCCATATTTACCTACATAACCACACACATATTTTTTGGTTGTTTTTACTATTGTTGCAAAATTGTATAAGTTATAGCATTTACTGAAATTGTCCCTTTTTCTCATGTACTTCTTAATGTCTTTATTTACCTTGGTCAAGTTGTGCTGACCTCACCCATATTTGGGATTGCCTTTCCCATCACCAAAAGTAACAAGTGTCTACTAGCTAGAAACTGATTCCCCATCTCTCTCCCTCCCATCCCTGGTAACCATCAAAGAACTTTGCTTTCTGTGTGTATATCTATTCTTGACTTTTTATGATAGTGGGACCATACAATATTTGTCTTTTTGTGATTGACTTATTTCACTCAGCATAATGTCCTCCAGGATTCATCCATGTTGTAAGATATTTCACAGACTCCTCATTATTCTTTATAGTTGCACAGTATTCCATTATATGTATGTACCACAATTTGTTTATGTGTTCATCCATTGATGGGCACTTAGGTTGTTTCCATCTTTTTGCTGTCATGAATAATGCTGCAATGAACATAGGTGTGTATATGTCTATTTGTGTCACTGCTCTTGTATCTTTAGGATATATATGTAGGAATGGAATTGCTGGATCATAAGGTATTTATATTTCTAGCTTTTTGAGGAAGGACCATACTGTTTTCCATAGTGGTTGTACCATTTTACATTCCCACTAGCAATGTATGAGAGCTCCAATCCCCCCACAACCTCACCAGCATTTGTATTCTGTTCTTCACAGGGGTGAGATGGTATCTCATTGTAGGTTTGACTTGCATCTCTCTAATGGCCCACCCAGGGACGCTCACTGTTTGGAGCCCTGGTGGCGCAGTTGTTGAGAGCACAACTGCTAACCAAAAGGTCGGCAGTTCAAATCCA